TTCAATTTGTTTTAATATTCAACTTTGTTTTTCTCACTTAAAGAGAGAGTCCAATTATACCTATTGAGTTAATAAAAACATATTAAAGGCATTTTTAGTTAAGTGGTGAAAAGATGGACAAATTTTGTTTTTCGAGATCATTCTCAGTGCATACTGCATACCAATTAAGTTTGCCAACAAAAAAATAAGTTCACTATAATGAGTTGCTTACAAATGACTTATACATAACTCGTATTTGATTTTTTTTAATTTGTCAATTTTTTTGTATAAAAAAGCACATAATATTAAGCACCAAATAATCTGAATACAAATCCACACCCTACTGTTGCCCTACCCCATACATTCAAAACAAAAATTAGGCTCAAACTTTAACACCAGAAATTAAGAATTAAGTGAACTATATTTATTCCCAATTGCCATCAGAATAATAGGCTTCATGATTTTCACAATATACTCTTTAGTGACCTTTTTTTGCTATGAATTTTGAGACTTCTAGCCTCCCACAAGAAATAACAGCATCCCGCAATACATGTAGCAATAAGCCAATAATCTTTCTTATTCTTCCCCACCCTAAGTTTTTTGCACCAACTTAACAATGGAGCTAGAAGAAATGTCATATTGTATCCACTTTAGCAAGTTCTTCAATCCCAAACCACCTTCTTGTTTAGGGAGGCAAACATCTTCCCATTTGATGATGAAACTTTTCTTATACTCAGGTGTAGAGCTCTAAAGGGGCAAATTTTCTTTATAACAGTGTTAGGCAATAAAAAAATTCTGCTCCAGAAAAACACAAAACCTTACAGCACTAAGTTAATCAATTTTATCCTTCCATCATAAGAGAGGTGTTTAGTAACCTATGAAGATATTTTCATAATGATCTTTTCCACTAGCTTATCACATTCCCACTCACCGATATAAGATGCTAAAATAAGACCTCCCTAGTATCTAAAAGGAAAAGTTCATTTAGACATTTTGGTCCTCTCCATTATGCTATTGTAGGTATCCCCCCTACAAACACTTGAGATTTATTATAATTGAGCTTTAGGCCAGTAGTGTCCTTAAGATGATCAAGACTAGAAAGAATACAATCAATAGAATGAAGATCAGCTTTGTAGGCCACTATTAAGTCATCAAGAAACACAATGTTCATGAGCTTAAGAGAACCCCATTTAGCCTGCTGCAAAATGATTGCAGATACTACTCCCTCCGTCCAAAACTTATCTTCATGTTCATTATTCACAGAGACAAACTTTCTTCACTTTGTTGGTCTATTTTCGTTATCTGTTTGATAAAATAATATAGTCATGTCACTACTAGTTTTTAAATATGTAACTTTTATTTTTAAATTTTCTACCATTTTTCATATAAAATACTTTGAAAATAATTTCAGTCAAACATTATAACGCGTGACTGGAAGACAATTTTTAGATGGAAGGAGTACCTTATAAATCACATTGCAACATGCTAATGTGCTATAGCTGTGAAATGATTTGAGACTGTCAAATTTCGTGTACATGCACTAAATTTAGTTTACTTCATATATTTTTTGGCACTAAATGATTTTAATTTGTCCAAAAAATTACAAAGCAATGAAGGGATTGTTTATCGTCAAGTTGTTTGCTCATAATTTCAGTTATTTATCCTATATGTTTCTTTAATCAATTGGCATTGGGTACTGTATTAAAAGCAGAACGCACATGGAAGCTATGGATGAGAGAGTCTTGTATGGGATACATACATTATATATTCTCTTCCAAAATTAACATCCTAGTTTGACTTCTGGAGTTAATTTAACTAGAAATTACGTTTAAAAAAATTATTTTAAGATATAGTTTTGATATATTAAATTTTTGTATTGCTTATTTATTTAAAAGTTAAAATAATATTTAATTTGTGATCAAAGTAACCACAAAAGTGAAACTAAGACGATATTTTCAAGGCGAGTGAAATAAATTAGTATTCATACCTATTTTTATTGATCATTTGGTAATAAAATTGGTCATTTCTTGTTTACATGGGCGTATCTTGAAAGCTTAAGAAAGGTGTATTCAATTTGGATTTTAAAAAAAAATTGATAAATTGTTTAGAGATTATGTGAAATCTATGCATTATTTTAATTCTATAGAGGGTTAGATTTCAATTAGGGGTGAACACGGGTGATGACGGTTCAGGTTTTATGCCATCTCGTGTTTTATCCCATTTCTTTTCAAACGGTTCCGAATGGTTCGGACCACAAGCTTATCACTCTTTGTCTCTTAATTTTTAGGATTGGGATAAAATGGTACGGATTCGGATTTTCGTATTTTGTCATTATCTGAAATTTGATATAAAAATATAAAATACATGGGGGAGGGGGCAACTCACTTTGACTTGCAAAGTAATAAAAAAATGATATATTTATTTAGAATGATTTTAGAAGCTGAAATAAGAAGAAAACATGAAAAATATTACAACATACGTCAAAAATTAAGACTATAATAAGTTTCTTTTTAACTATGAGCCTTAAATTGGGTGGACCAAGTTAGAACGGTATGTATTTTTTGGTGTTCTGGTCGTAGTCCATTTTTTAGAATATTTGAAAAATGTGATATTTTTTATATCTATTTTGGGAAATACAAAAATGTGATATTTTTTGTGCGTTACGGAGTATATCATTATATAAATAAATAAGTAGATATATACATATATATAAGATAATGAGACGAAATGGGAAAATATTTAAATGTCCCGGTCCTATTCCAATTTAAAACGTTTCAGAACGGGTTTGGAACAAAATTTTGTCATCTCTAACAAAACAGAACATGGTTGGAGCTACTAGCTTCAATCTGTGGTCAACAATGGGTGACCATTTTTCAATTGCACCAAAATTGAAGCTAGAATGGAGACGTGTGCAAATCAGAGAGGAGAGCATGAATCCAAAGTCAACTGAGCTGATCTGTAAAGGAAGGGCTTCTAATCGATCTTGGCAATGAAGGAAGAACGTAGTGACGGAATCTCAATATTTATCCCAGTTTTCATTAAAGTTTGCAGCTAATATCTCTCGATGTGGCCACGGATTTGTTAGAAGACTTTTCTTTAGAAAAAAAGCTTGAAATCCTTCAAAATCATTATTTAATAAAAGTCTTTCTAATTGTTTAGTACCATTAGATTTTGATAGACCTTTTATAATCTAAATTGAGTACTTCAATATTTTAAATGATTTTTTAAAATCTCAATTGAATACTTTTAAAATTTAAAAAAATCTTACAAAGTTTGCATTAAATACATTGTGGACAATCTCTCTAGAAGAGTTATGATGTATCTATATTTGCTTATATTTTGAGTATGTCTGTGATAAATTTTCAAGTTCCCTAGAGACCCTCGCCCTCATAGTTCATAGTGCCTTGCTTGTTTTTTATATGGGCAAAAGTCTGGATTGCCTTCCAGGAGCTGCCCTCTTTATTGTCTTGGCCAGACTCTTCCTTTTTCAACTTCAGAATTCCTTCATCGATTGGGTTCTCCATGCAATCTTCTTCAATCAGCCCCACTTTTTCTATTGAATGGAACATCTTCAACTTGTGGCTAATAACTTTGAAAATCTTATTAGTGAAAAAATTCTTTATCTCTACTGCTCCATGAAGATAAGTCTTTTTTACTTCAAATGGACCTAACAACATATTCATAAGTTTTTCAGGAAAAGAATTGAGTTTAGAATTGAATAAGAGAACTCTATCTCCCGGTGGAACTCTTTCCTAAGTAGCCCAGCATCATGGAAGGCTTTGGATTTTCCTTTATAAATCACAGAAATATCATAGGCATCCATCATAAGTTCTTCTAAGTCTTGCATATGAAGTTTTCGTTCCTTATCATATTCTAGATTAACCTCTTTAATAGCCCAGTAACTCTATGCTCTAACTTAACATGTAAATGACATGCTTTTTCAAAAACAACTCTATAGGGCCCTCATGTTTGTTTTTTTAGTTATTTTTTAATATTTTTTCTAAGTATAGTACTTTTTAAATTTTATATTATTGCAATACCTTATAGATAGAAACGTAGTAGATTGCATTGCTACATTAACAGTGTTCATACAGTGTCAATCAAGACCACACTTAACGTCACACGTAATCACATAATGGCATCATACCAATGTATAAAGTCATACATGTGAATGCATAACGTTAAAAAAGAGTATTAACGCAAAACATGTCATTGTATACTGACAGATATGCAAATGTATAGTGTTACATATCACACATGTTATATTGTCAAAAAAATTATATGTCAAAAATCTCTTTTTCAACACCATAATCATTTAGTTTCAATATCAGCTTTTCAAGATATTGAAAATAATTTCCTAAGAATTTCAAATTTAAAGTTGAATGTAACCACTTACGTCAAATTGAATATAAAACTGAATTTAACTTACACGACGGAAATGGTGGAGAAGGGTGGAAGAAGATTGCATGTATGAGAGAAAGGGTGTTAGCGGGAGTTGCTGGGATTAAACAAAGAAGGAGATCGGCGAGAATGCTTGGGATTGAATAACGAGATCGAGAAGGAGGTCGAGAGACAGTTTCGATCGCAAAGGGACTAGGATGTGTGGTTTGTGCAGAAGTAGTAAATAAAAAAAAATAATTAATTACTCCAATTTAGATTCAGAATTTAATATGATCTCCTATTTTAAGGATATGACCTATATTTTACTCTTAGTTGGTAAATTATTCTTTCCTTTTATTCTCTTTATCTCAAAATGTTTTATACTTTATGCAAAATGAAACAAATGTTTAAAGTTTTAATTTTTTATATTTAAAGATTGGTATAAAAATTATAAATAAAATGTCAATATTTAAAAATCAGGTAAAAAATACTCCCTCCGTCCATGTATGATCTTCCTATTACGCGTTACGAGGCTTGACCGACTTTATTTTCAATTCAATTTAATTGATTATAGGAGTAAAATTTTAAAATAAAATTTATATAGTAATAAACTACATGAAAAATTCTACAAAACTAGAGGTGACAAGACTATATTATTTTATGAAATGACTAGTAAAATTGAGCAAACAAAGTGAGTAAAGTTTGACCCTGTGAAAAGTATCTGGGAAGATCTATGGTGGACAGAGAGAGTACTACAAAATAAAATGTGTAATTTTTTTTCGAGGAGGGAGTATTACAATTTACAAGAGGTAATTCACGAGCCCAAATCACACTTTGACCAGCTCATTTCCCTTCCAAGACCGATCACAAGAACATCAATGGAGAAGAAAGAGAACCCGAAGATGAATATCGCGATTATCCACCCCGATCTGGGAATCGGTAATTCTCAGTTCTTAAATTTCCTTCCGTTTCTGCAAACCCATCATTTTATTTGCTGTGTGTTCTTACGCATGATGGATTTATTAATTCTCCCTGTTCTCACATGAAAGTAAATCATGTCTCAAATTGACCCAAAAAAAACTTCGGTGTGGATGATAATATTTAACTGCACAACCAAATTATTATTGGCTATCATTTTAGTTAATATTGATTGATAGGGAGTATTTTCACTTTTCAGTTCATAGCGAGAATTTTATTAGCTGTTTGTATTACTTAGTATTTGGTAAATTTAGCCTGTTTGTATTACAGATGATTTTGTTTGCTCTCAGGATCATGCATTATGAATCTTTGTTTGAGTGCCTTCTTTGTTTTGTTAAGTTGGAGCATTGCTTTGTGTTTGTATTACAAGTGAATTCTTTGTTTTGTTAAGTTGGAGCATGGCTTTGTGTTTGTTTTTACATTTCATCAAAAATTTAGGACTTTTGTTGTGATGATTTGATTTGATTGGTTCACCGGCATAATGCTCGTTAAGAGACGAAGAAAAGAGTTTTAAATATTTCCTTTCAACTCGTTGAGTGAAATTTGATCCTTTACTGGGAAGGTATAATGTTCAATTTGCCCATCAGACCATCACTCTCACAAATGGAATGTCATGGCTTCCATTATAGTACTTTAAATTCTTCTATTGTTTTGTCGGCTTATCTCTTATGGTTCATTTGGAACCTAGAAAATGCTAAAACGATTAAAAAGGGAAGAATGAGAAATATAAGTTACATGGGAAACTGGTTCAAACTCAATAAATCATTCTTAGATATTTCACATTTGCTCATTCTCATTTTAATTTTATATTTCTATTATGTAAAGAATGAGTACAAATATATTTAAAACTTTTCTTTTGTAATTTCCAATGTAGAACCAAACACAAAAATCTGTGTTCTTTTCCTTATCGTGTTTTGCATTCCAAATATATCCTTAATTGCTGCAATATGTAGGTGGAGCTGAAAGGCTAATTGTTGATGCTGCTGTCGAACTTGCCTCTTGCGGACATAATGTTCATGTTTTTACAGCACATCATGACAAAAATCACTGTTTTGAGGAGACTCTTTTGGGTTAGTTTCTTATCTGTAGCAATATCATTCTATATTTATTTTTTCTCTGTTCTTTTCTGGTTTAGCTTGCCTTTCTCTCTTGGTAACGTAATTCATCTCAATTGCACAGGAAACTTTAATGTAAAAGTATATGGCTCGTTCCTACCCCGGAATATATTCTATAGACTTCATGCAGTATGTGCATACTTGAGGTGCATATTTGTCGCTCTTTCGGTGTTGTTTCTATGGCCATCATTTGACATCGTTCTAGCGGATCAAGTCTCTGTTGTCATTCCTCTTATGAAGCTGAAAAAAACAATGAAGGTACTAGGTTTCAGAACTGAATTGCAATTGGGGTGTTTGGCATAGTAATTTATGATTTAAACCTTACGCAGGTTGTTTTCTACTGCCATTTTCCAGATCTCTTATTGGCTCAGCATACAACCGTTCTTAGGAGGATATACCGCAAGCCCATAGATTTTATAGAAGAAATGACAACAGGTCTTTTGATTATTTTTTTTTGTTAATTGTGTTTCTTTATGGTGTAAGTGTTTTCTCAATTAAATACAACGGGCTTTTTTTAAGGGAAAAATCAGTCTGATTCTGTCTTAGCATCAAAAGCATTTTTTGCTGTTAAAAGAATCTTTATGTTTTCTTGCAAAGCGTTTCTTTTTGAAGTGATATTACCTTCTAGAAATACCTTACTTTCACCGTCCCAATTTAAATCGTCTGTTGTTGTTTACAAGGTCAGACTCAAATAATTTTCAATTTAATTTATTTGAAACTTGGTATGGAATTTAAAAATAAAATGTATATCTTTAAAAACTACATCAAAAGTTCTTCAAAACAAGAGGTGACAAGTCTATATCATTTTCTCAAATGTGTAGCGAAAACTGGTAAAGAACGTGGTTAATGTTTGACCCTATGAATTGTAAACATGCAACTTAAATTGGGACGGAGGGAATTTATTTAAAATAAGATGTCCCAAATGCATGTTATGTACATTCTTGTTTATTTCCTTTCATGCTTCTTTAACTAATTTTGTATTCTGGCTGCATGGTGAACTGTGTTAGGTATGGCTGATTTGATCTTAGTCAATAGCAAGTTCACAGCTTCTACTTTTGCAAACACGTTCAGGCGTCTAAATGAACGTGGAGTTAGACCAGCCGTGCTGTACCCAGCAGTCAATCTTGACCAATTTAATGAACCTCACGATACTAGGTAAGATGCATTCCCATCTCTTTGTAACTTGTAACTATACAGCTGATTCAAACACAAATTTAAATGCCAATAAATGAACATAAGTTTATACGAGAAGCTTACCCTTAAAAATTGGTTCAAATAAATTTAGTAGAATTTCCAAAGAATTTTTTGTTTAACATTGTCTATTCACTATATTTAGGTTAAACATTCTATCTATCAACCGCTTTGAAAGGAAAAAGAATATAGAATTGGCAATATCTGCCTTTGCCAGGCTCTATAACCACGAAGAGGGTAATAATCATCAATGCCCTAATGTGGCTGAAGCTTCATTAACTATTGCAGGTATTGATTTTGTTCATTTCTTTGTGCAATTTTATATAACCACATAACATTCATGCCTTTCAACTGTTTTGTTGCTTGGTTGATTTTTAACCCTTATAGTTTATAAAGAAATGGCATGGAAATCATCAAAATAGCTACATTTTCAAGAAATTTCTTGGTTTGGGAATCCAAGACAACCTTTTTTTAAATAAAAGAAGACATTAAATATGACAAGAATTAGTAGCTTCTTTCATTCAAATTGATTTATCTTTTTTTCCCAGGTGGATATGATGAACGATTAAGAGAGAACGTTGATTATCTAAAGGAGTTGAAGCTCCTGGCCAAAAGAGAAGGTGTTTCGGACCGAGTTAGCTTTGTTACTTCTTGCTCTACTGCTGAAAGGAATGAGCTTCTCTCTCAATGTCTGTGTGTTCTTTATACACCAAAGGTATGTACGTCCAAACCAAACAATCTTTCCAAAGAGTTGTGTTATGGTGTGGCACCGACCGTTATTGTTTGTGCGTGTCTGTGCAAAGCATGGGGTCAATGGTGGTGTCAAAATTGTGGGATTTTTTTATCTTTCCAAATTCACCATCCATTTGTTTCCTGCATGATCTTCGGTGTTTTAGGACGAGCATTTTGGCATTGTTCCTTTGGAAGCAATGGCGGCATATAAACCCGTAATAGCGTGCAACAGTGGAGGTCCAGTAGAGACAGTGGACCACGGTGTGACGGGCTTCCTGTGTGATCCAAGCCCACAAGAGTTCTGCTCAGCCATGGCGAAATTCGTCTCGGATCCTTGTTTGTCTGTGAAGATGGGCCTGAATGCCCGTCAGCACGTTGCAAAGACCTTCTCGACCAAAATATTTGGCCACAATCTCAACGCCTATCTTATTGGTGTCGCACGGGGGAAGGATGACTGATCTATGCAATAGAATAGGCGAAAAAGATAAGTCACGCCACATATGATACCATTTTGGACGCCATTGTGATTTGTGTCTCATAGACACACAGACAGACAGTGCAAAACTTCATACAGTTTCACACTGTTTGAGAGACACAATGGTGTTAAAACTCAGGCACTTCCAAGTAGTTTTGGTTTTCCAACTTTGCCCATTTAAATTGGAATTGAAGGCTCAAAGATGATATCCACTTGTTCTTGGAGTTTTTCCCCTAAACAAATCTTCTCAAGCAGTACAAACTATGGAGTAGAAAATAAGTTAATTATAGATTTTTCATAACTACATGACACAACCACTCTATTTCTCATGCAAGTTTACTTTTCTTGTCGAGTTGTGTTCGGTTGTTTTTCTCAAAATCTGCTACTTTTGAAATAAAATATGAAAAAACTATATTTCATTAATAAATACTACATCCGTCTCAGAATATTTATCTAATTTTGACTTTTTGTAATTGAAGTTGATTAACATTGATTCTTAAGTAGATAAAGAATTTAATATACTTTTAGTTCTTGTAAAATAAGTGACTATAAAATATACTCCGTATCTTTTAATTATGCCATTTCTGTAATAAAAAATTGTAAATAGTTCTTTCACTGTTTTTTATTTAGAGTTAATGTTCAATCTGTTTTTTGTTTCTAAAAAATCAGTGATTTTATGTTTTGGTCCCTCTGCAATGGTTTATATCCAAACTAATTGTATTTGGTCCTTCTAATCCCTAAAAAATTAACCCTAAATTGGTGGGAGGGTCATTTTGCAAAATAGGGATGATTTAATTAAAACTAAAGCAATTTTCTTAAATTCTTTGAAGTCCAATTATAATTTCTGTGGGGATGGTGAGAATATACTAAAAAATTCTCAAGGACAAAGAGAATAATAAAGGACTAACGATATATGAAAAGTTAATACTCCAATATATATAGACTTCTTCCGTCTCGTAAAAGTTCCATAAATATATTGTCAAAAATAGAATGTGAAACTTTTTTTAACGGAAAAAGAAAATTTAGGGAGTGTTATCTATATATTGTTCTTGCCCAATTGTGTATGTCTATTGCTCCACTCAAAGTGACATAGGTGGTCCTATTAAACTTATTTTTAAATTGGTACTTATAATTTTTAGTGTTCATATAAGACCAATATTAACTTTTAACTTATAATCTAGTTCATATAAGACCAATATTAAATCTCCACTCAAAAAAAATCCACCCCCCACCACCACTCCCTCACAAATAACATAAAATTTTAATTCAGAATGCCTCTGTCTTAAAAAGAAGTTTATATTGTATTTCACCGACCTCAAAAAGTTTAAAAATGAGACGTGTTTTACAAACTAAATAAATTATACGATGTAAATATTAGATTATACGGGGTGTAATTCTACATTTGTAACATTCACTTTAGCTGGTGTCGGTAATTATCTCTTTAGAATTTTATCTATTTAAAAATGTTTTTCAATAAACAAAGATGAGTTCGATAATAAGACTTAAAAACTGATTTGTAATCAAGTAATCCGTACCAAGTAATGTTCTTGAAGCATTTAGAAATGCCAATATAGTAACGAAAAATCGAATAACAAAAACTCTATTGAAATTAAAAATTAACAATAGCTGGCTGACCTTTGATGAAATTGTAGCAGCTTATTTTCTTAAAGAGATTGTTTGCAATGTTTTTTTCATTAAAGAAACACAATTGGTCGAACATAAGAGTTACCAAAAACAATTTGGTCGAACAATATAATTATCTCCCAAATAATCAATTACATGTTCAAAATATCTTTAGCAGTTTTGACTCATTGTGCTTTACTTCGTAGTAGGTTGAGAAAAATATTTTTTACCAATCACAAACTCAATAATTACTCTTTTCCCAAAAGTAAAAGACAATTAGTTAAAATTTATTTACAGAAAAGAGTTACGGATTATCGTACTCCACATAGTAGATAAAAATTACCGAGTATAGAAATACTAATTTCAATTAAATTTATTTATAGGGAATATCGAACCTTTTAAAAATCATTATAAAAAAAAAAGATTATTAGCGATGATATGAACAAACAGGGGAAGCTCTCAGGTTTAAAATCTCAATACTTGAAACAAACTAGAAGGTAAATTTATGTTTGAGACACAAGGCATCATCAGATGAACGTCAAATGAGAATTACTAATTAATAAAAAAGGGGCAAAATGGAAACAAAATCCAAGATTGTTTCAAGAGAGAGGGACAAGGGTAGTTGTTCAGGCCTGCCTATTCCTCTTCTTCGGACCAGATTTGGCAATCTTAAGGCTTCTGTAAACGACACTCAGCCTTGCAAGAGCTGCCTTCTTCAAGTCTGGCCTGTAATAGTTGTCTGCAACCTGCAAGCAAATATGTCACAGAGAGAAAATCTGAGACACGATGGCACTTAGAGATGAACTGCCATCCAAATGACGGAAAGTGTAGATAATATTTGTAGAGAAGATCTTATGTTATACTCCGTATTGGGGTAAATCACTATAATTTTAGTATACAGAACATGAAGGCAACTCAAATGAGGATGACCCTACAAAAGTGGAGATGTTTCTAGGAGACCCCTAGCTCGAGCCAAATTAGGATGACGTTACAAAAATACATATTTAGACCTTGTATTTTGTTAAATAATTTATGCTGGTTGGTGAGGTATGGTTTTCCACTATAGCATAGTAATGGTGGTAAGAGGTTTGCATTTCCAAATCAAAGGTATGGGCTTGGTGGCGATAATGGTATTTCTAAACTAACATATTCCTGTAATTTAAAACCACTAATCTGATCGTTTTCCATGGTTATAAAGTTGAATTTTCATTTTACATTCATATTACCTATAATACTATCAAGGATTGAAAACAGACCATAACAGCTTGTAAAATTGTATGATTAACAGCGATTAGGTCATTTTAATAGGAATATCAAATACCAACAAAACAAAAATTTTATATAGTATGCCATTCCAATGCAGCTTCTCAATCATAGAAAAATGGATGACATAACCATAAGATAATCATGCCACACCCATATCAAACAAGACTTAGAGAAGGTGTCACGAAACAGACATGGTATGATCTTGTTTTTTTTCAAGAACCAAGACATCACATTATTTATAAACCAATTGTGGTTTGTACTTGTAGCACTTTCCTTGAAACTAATTCATCTAAATATGGGGATTAGGGGATAGAAACTCATTTCAACCAAAGCCCCATGGCCCCATTGCAACTGCCCTAATACTTAGACTAAACAAATCCACAACTAAGACATGAGACATGTACCTGATTGGTAACGGCCTTGGCCATGCGGTGGAACTCCTTTTTCATCAGAGACTTGTTTAGTGCACTAGCAGGTTTGTTCTGCTTCTTGGTCTTGCTGGTGGCAAGAAGCACAGTTAGATCTTTCCCCCTTTGAATGGTAACAGTTTTCTTGTTTGCAAGCCCTGTTAACCAATACCAACAGAATAAATGCTCCAATACATCAGCAACAGCTCTAAAGCAGGTTAACTTTCATTCAATTAGACAGACAAATGTTCAACTAATACTAAAAGAAAACAAAGAAAATACTCTAACAACAGCATTAAAGCAAGCATTCAACTATCATAAAGTTAGCATGGCTAATGTTCAACCATACTAGATGCTAATCTCTAAGTGACTTTATATCATAACCCTAACATTATTGGTAATTTGTTAATCGTTATGACAGAGTACAATTACTTTGTCTTAGGCTGTATGGACAACAATCAGATGGTTACTTTTTTTCTCCTAGATGTAAGAAAGAAATCAAAAGAAACAATGAGATAAAAGCAACAGTTAAAAATTAACCAGAGTGTTTGTAGGAGTGAAGATTGTAGAGGTTGTTGGGTTCCTTGCTGAAGACAACACTGGCGGCACCTCTGCCAGACTGTTTGACCACAAAAGAGTTGTTCTTCTTCACAATCTCCCACAACAGCTGCCCAGGTACTGTGGCCATTTCTCCTCTTTAACCTTACCTACATATTCAAATTTGGCAATTTCATGTCATTCCTCAAGAGGATACACAGTGGTTCTCATAGTAAACAACGTAAAGAACAATAATTTCTGAAACAAGAGATTTTTCCAAAAAAAACAAGAGACTCGGTACTAATTAAGACCAACAGAAACTGTTCAAAAAAACAAGGAATCCATTCTTTTTCTTCGAAATTCTACAAAAACAGAGACCTTGAATACACAAAATTAATACTCCCCTCCAAAATGTGTTAAGCCAATGAAAATACCTTAAATTAATTACTACACAATAAAATAGTAAACAACCTAAATGTAAAACCTAAAACAGAGCAAAGACTCAAAATGGTTTTCGACAGGGGAAGCGGGTTGTTCTTATTTTAACACAGAAAACAAAACAAAGAAAAAACCCACGGGCTAAAACCATCGCCATCGCCCTAGACCCCTACAGGATCCTACCCGACTTCCGCTTAATAAGTTTCGATCCCGGTTTAGCTGGATATGGGAACTTCCCCGGACCCTCCCATTTCATTTGCTTATGGTACGCAATCCGCCTATTACCACTTATCCAATTCCATGAAGTAGACTGACACTTAATCATTTTTTAGCAGATTAAAGCTAGTTATGAATACAGAAAACCCTAAATTTCATAGAAATGAGCCCTAATTCTAAGGAAATCAGAGCATTACCTTGAGTTTTTCCCTCGAATCGGACTGACGGAGACAAGATCCGTCCTCGCTCTCTCTTAGTTTTCTGCTGTCTCCGGCTGCTCTGAATCAATGTCGAAAGACGGGGAAAGAAGAGAGTAATGTATGACTCCGTTATATAATATGGCTAGGGTTTTGTTGGCGAATGGATCAAATTTTTTGAGCTAAATCAAAAGCCCAATATTCAATTCTTTTTATTCTATACATCAAAAGCCCAATATCTCACATAAATATTTAAAAAAAGAAAAAAAATACGATTGTATTTTTTTCTCTTTTTAAATAAATAGATGAGACTTAAATATTTCTCTCCAATCCAAATAAATTATATTAACACATTTTTTACTTGTTACTACCTCCGTCCCATTTTATAATGACTGTTTCACGATATTTGACTGAAATTATTTTCAAACCATTTTATATGACAAATGGTATAGAATTAAAAAATAAAAATTACATATTAAAAAACTACATCAAAAGATCTACAAAACTAGTAGTGACAATAATATTTTATTTTATCAAATTGCTAACGAAAATAGAGAAAGAAAGTGAATGAAGTTTGACCCTATGAATAGTAAACAGACATTATAATTTGGGACGGAGGGAGTAATATTCTTTTCTCAAACCTTGCGACGTCATATCGCGAAAGGACAAAAAGGCTATCAAATTTTGTACTTCGCCCAAACATTATTCCTTCATACCCTCATTTTTAACTGGGTGTTGTTATATCTAGAGCTGGCAAAATGGTCAGTTAGGTCGATTCGAGTTCGGTGACCTTAGGTTCGGATAAGGTAAGATTCGGGTTGACAACTACATGTTCATGACTCAGTGTCATCGGGTTCGGGTTGACCCAACGGATTACGAGTTTCATTTATTTTTTTAAATTTTAAGTAATTTTTATGACTTAGTGTCAATATTACGAATAAAAAATTAAATATGTAGAAATTTTGAAAAAATGTACTCCCTCTGTCCCATTTTAAATTGTCGGTTTGCCTTTTTTTCCGTCCCAAAATAAGTTGTCTGTTACTTGTTATCATAAAATTTCAAAAGTAAAATACCTAAACTATCCCTAAAATAAGTTATTTTTCTCCACCTTATCTTCTCATTCATCGTCACCCTTCCTAAAAATTAATGGCAATTTTGAAAAATCAACTCTATTTTTTCTCTCCTTTAAATATGCCCAAAAGTCAAAACATGCGATTTAAAACGAGACGGAGTGAGTAAGATAATTATTCGACATCATTAAATTTTGTTATGATGATTGATGGAAACCGCTTTTTCGGGGCGTCGACCCAATGAAATAGGTACCGGGTCGGCACCGCACCGAATAACGAAATCCAGATATTAAAAAAATAAATAAAGCGGAGAGAAAGTATTTATACGTGGAAACCCAAATCGGGAGAAAATCACGGGCCTTTTTAGGCGGTGCCATGCCAAGGGGGAAGAATTTTTATTAATCTCGGGGGAATTTACATATACATCACTGTAGGAGCTTGGAGCCATTAATGGAGCTCCATGCTCAGAGAAGAAGAAGAATGAAGAATAATAGTAGAACTAGTAGGAAATTGGCCTCCCTCTTCCGTCCTTCGTAGCCTTGTATTTAAAGGGGAGTACATGCATGCATCCCCAAAAATGCCATGAGGTGGCCATGTCACCTCCATGTGCACATGTTTTGTATATGGGCTCCATGGAATATTTTTACATCACTTCAAATATATTAATTTGTCCATATATCTCTGGTTCCGTCTTGAATAATTTATCTGATTTATATCTTGGGCCAGATAAAATTGGGCTTTCTTGTACTGTTCAAATGATATTGAATTAGGAAAAATCCCTAATCCATCACATGCCCCCTAGTTTTGAGTCTGTCTCGGGGAACGAGACAGATTCAAAACTATATGACTCGGTGGGTTGCCTCGTGGGACAGAATTTTTCTTGGTGCCTCGGGAAGAAGACATTTTTCTCACGGATTTGAGCCTCTTGGAAGAGGATTTTTTCAAGGATTTGTGCCTCTTAGAAGAGGACTTTCTCGGGACTTTGTGCCTCTTTGGAAGAAGACTTTTTCGGGACTTTGTGCCTCTTTAGAAGATGACCTTCTTGGGACTTTGTGCCTCTTTAGAAGAGGACTTTCTTGGGACTTTGTGCCTCTTTAGAATAAGACTTGGTGCCTCGGGGAAGAGGACTTTTCTCGAAGATTTGGGCCTCTTAGAAGAGGACTTTCTTGGGACTTGGTGCCTCTTTGGAAGAGGACTTTCTCGGGACTTTGTGCCTCTTTGGAAGAGGACCTTCTCGGGACTTTATGCCTATTGGAAGAGGACTTTTCTTTCTTTTTAGTTCCTTAGGAAGAGGACTCGGTGCCTCTTGGAAGAGGACTTTTCTCACGGATTCGTTGCCTCTAGGAAGAGGACTTTGCTCGGGGCTCTTTTTTCAATATTCTTTGGGAGCCTCTAAACCCCCACCTGATATCTATCTGACGGTGGTTGGGCGCTCCGCTCTTATTGAATTATAGACAATCTCCGTCCACATTTCTCTTCGTCCTTGTCCCTCCAATTGAGGGGGGGCCTACTATAATCTCTTTCATAGGATTCCTTCCTTTTGGGTAGCTTGTTTCTAATGGGCTGAGCTTCAGCCCCAATCCTTTTCCTTTTCCTATCTTTCCTCAATCTCGGTACGGGAGTTTATGACTATCTCTAGTAATCTGATCACTTAACTTGATCGAATTACTGACCTCTGCTTTCTATTCTTTTACATTATTACTTTTATCAACTTATACAACTTGGAACGGACCACCTGAGGCTTGATCCGTCCATTCGAGGGACCCATGAAGTTGGAGCGGTCCACTGGAGGCCAAATCCATCCATTGTGAAGGACCTATGTAGATGGAGCGGTCCACTGGAGGTCAAATCCGTCTATGTGAAGGACCTATGAAGATGGAGCGGTCCACTGGAGGCCAAATCCGTCCATGTGAAGGACCTATGAAGATGGAGCGGTCCACTGGAGGCCAAATCCGTCCATGTGAAGGACCTATGAAGATGGAGCGGTCCACTTGAGGCCAAAGCTGTCCATGGCTTGCTAAAGAGGACCGCGTAGAGGACTGATGGAGAGGACCGTCGGAAAGGAACGCGGAGAGGACCGCCAGAGAGGACCGCCGGAGAGGACCGTAGAGAGGACCACTGGAGAGGGTCTCGCCACTTCTGTCCGTTTTTCGGCGAAGGAAGTCGGAGCTCGCCAGATCTCGTCGAAGATGAAGTCCCGCTTGCTGTCGATGAGGCTCGCCGGAGCAGTGGGAGCTTGATGGACAAACTGGAGCAATCGCGGCCACTGCCATCTGCGGCTCGCTGGAGGAGTGGGAGCTCGTCGGAGGGCCGCCGCTGTTGCCCGTGGCTCGCCGGAGGAAGGAGGAGGCTCGTTGGACCTGGTTGTGGACCGAGAGTGGCTCACCGGAGAGGTTTGTCGGGGATGACCGGACCGACGGAGAGGACCGCCAGAGGAACTGGGAGCTCGTTGGAGGGCCGCCGCTGCTGTCCGTGGCTCGCCTGAATAAGTGGGAGCTCGTCGGATGGCCACCGCCGCTGCCGTCCGTCGAGAAGGTGGCTCTGCTGAGGGCCAGTGGCTGCTCTCCAAGGTCGCCCAAGGCCAGGCGGAGCTCCCCGCTTCTCGCCGGAAGTGAGCCGCACTGGAAGGCTCGCCGAAAAGGACCCGTCGTTGTCCAATGTTTCAAAATGGCCTCTCTAGATCTGGGCGGTCAATCAACATGATGCAGAAGAGTAGGGAGTTTGTTTTTTCTCTTCTGCCCTTTTCCCTTCAACCTCTCTCTCTCCCTCTTTTTTGTTTTGTCTTTTTTTACTTTCTCAACCCACTTTTTTTTCTCCATTACGGACTCGGAGCACAAAAGCTTTTTGTGACGGGTCCCACGGTCGGCGCCAGTGATGAAAACCGCTTTTTCGGGGCGTCGACCCGACGAAATCGGTACCGGGTCGGCACCGCACTGAATAGCGAAATTCGGAAATTAAAGAAATAAATAAAGCGGAGAGAAAGTATTTATATGGGAAACCCGAATCGTGAGAAAACCACGGGCCTTTTTAGGCGGTGCCATGCCAAGGGGGAGAAATTTTTATTAATCAAGGGGGAATTTACATATACATTATTGTAGGAGCTTGGAGCCATTAATGAAGCTCCATGCTCAGAGAAGAAGAAGAATGAAGAATAATAGTAGAACTAGTAGGAAATTGGCCTCCCTCTTCCGTCCTTCGTACCCTTATATTTAAAGGAGAGTAGATGCATGCATCCCCAACAATGCCATGAGGTGGCCATGTCACCTCCATGTGCACATGTTTTGTATATGGGCTCCACGGAATATTTTTACATCACTTCAAATATATTAATTTGTCCATATATCTCTGGTTCCGTCTTGAATAATTTATCTGATTTATATCTTGGGCCAGATAAAATTGGGTTTTCTTGTACTGTTCAAATGATATTGGATTAGGAAAAATCCCTAATCCATCAATGATATAAATCTATACACAAAAATGAGTAGTTAGCAAAGAAATATAATTACAATCTTATTTTTATAACACTATATTTCATATTAAAATGTATGATTTTGAAAAAAATCTTAGATTAGCGGGGCGAGTTTGGGTTCGGTCGGGTTTTACCCATTTTTAGCGGGTCATTTCGGGTTCGGTCAATTTCGAGTTCGGTCAGCAAAATCTTTATTCAAAACCCAGTATTTTCGGGTCGGGTCTCGAGTAGAAAACAGATCGAGTTATTTTTTGTCATGTCTACTTAAATCTATCTCCATTATGGCTAAATCCACTCCATTTATGTAAAATGGACAAATTTGCCCATAAAATTGCTAACATCTAATATCCCTTCCATGTGTTTTAAGGATAAATTTGTTCATTTAACCATAAATGGAATGAATTAGCCATAGCCGGAGTAAATTTAGAAACACCCTTTTTAACTTTAAACTTATAATCTCTCCGTCTAAAAAATTTCTTCCTTCTTCATTATTCTAAAATCATGATAACTTTTGCTTATTTGTATATTTTTATTAATTATTTGATAAAATAAAATATTATTATCAGCACTTATTTTGTAAAACTTTTGATGTAATTTTTAAATATGTAAATTTATTTTTATTTATATACCAATACTTAAATAAAATAATTAAAATAACTTAAAATTTTACTTCATTTTGAGATAATTATGAGACAGAGGGGTACTAAGTAATCTAATTTGGGGTACTAATTAATATAATTTGCATCATAAGAAAATCTATCCAAAACTACTAATCACAAATAATGTTCCCAAACCAAGCGGTATATATAACAAAGGAGCTTAGCTTCCATATATATATACACGCAATCAAATCCAAACAAAAACAGCACACATACACACCTCATACAAGAGACTACAAATTTACTGAGATGAAAATCCAAATGGGTAAAATTCCTAAGCTCAATTCCGACCCGAACACCGTGTCGAGAGTTCATCCTTATTTTTTTTATTTCTCCTTTTATACTTACGGCGAGTTAACTCGACCCGTACTTGAGAAGCTCCCAATTGAATGGCTGGAAGATGTAGACCGTCGGCGAGCTTTTGAACAAGAGGGCCACACAGACACATATGGCAGCAATGACCACCATGGATAGCATCACTGGCCTATATATTGCAAGTGAAGTTCTTCTTCTACTACTACTACTAAACCTTCTGTACTCTAACTTCTGCTCGCACTGACTGCAACTTGTCTTTGTAGCATTGACTGATGATTTCTCGGTCTGGAAGCTGGAAGTCATGTTTCCTGTTTTCTGCGCGATCTTACTGGTTGGGATATCTATGACGACATCAGCATTGCCCGGCAATTGCTTCTTTGTTTTCTTTTGGATTAGATGAATGTATGAATTGTGGCCTCGCACGCATGCGTAGTCGTTTGGTGTTAATCCTGTGCTGTCGCGTGCGTTCTGCCATGCCTCAATTCCGACCTGAGAGGAAACAGAGAGAGTAAGTAAAACATCAGCACCATATTTCGACAAACGAAACTAATTTGTCATGTGTTTTGCCAAAAAGAATACAAACAAGTCACATATTAGATGAGTTTTAGTTAAACTAAATATGTTAGTAGTATCTCAGAACATTTTAACAGTCCTACCTCATCAAAATTTAACGCTATGTTGGGTTCAAGGAAATTGAAAGGGGAAAGAAAAGAAAATGAGATGGAAAACATTTTTTCTTGTTTGGTTGGAGAGGAAAAGAAATGAAAAGTGGAAGGGAAAGAAAATGAGTAGGCAACTTTTCCCATTTCGGTGAGGAAAATGAGAGAACCATTTTCTTTTCTTTTCCTTCCACGTTCCTTGAACCAAACATAGTGTAAAATTTGAGCATTCCAAATTCTAAACTTTGTTTGGTTGCCAAGCTCAAATCTCATCTCCCACTTTTCTTGTCTCATTTGTGCGACACTACTCTAACTGGTTGACATTAATTAATTAATTAATTGCTATTTTCATAAAGTTGGGATTTAATTAACAAGGTGATTGTTATTAGAGCAATAGAAAAGTTGAGGACAAAATCACCTGTCCGGGGTCGTTGGTTAACGCATCTAATAAATTGTCCAATCCATTTTGACTGGCAACAATATGGAGTGGAGTGAGGCCTTCAAATACAACTGCATCCGGTCTAAACACGTAGGGACATTCACTCTGTTTTTTGGCCACTTTCAATTCGTCAACCCCTCTATTTGGGCAGTATTGTAGGAGAGCTTCTACCATTGACCTGCATTTTCCACGTACGGCCCTATGGAGGAGACCGAGGTCCTGCAAAGCGACCTCCAGGGATGAATGTTCTCCTTCGTCCACAATGCCAATAAACAAAACATCCAAAAGCTTCTTAACTACAGCGCACCAATCACGGTCAACCGAGAACTCTATTAGCCACTTGAACCGGTCAAACGGGAAGCGAAGATGATTTGACTTGGCACCCAGTCTGACTTTTGTGTGAGTCCTATGAAGGAGCCAGCCCATCTCATGGATGAAGTCCAAAGCTCGGTTTCTGGCTTCTAAGTTTTCAGTTTCTTGTTGGAGTCCAGAAGCAGTTTCTGAAATCTCAAGGTTGCTCTCTAGTGTACGGATTTCTGAACACACATCATCCTCTGCAACTATAAATGGGAAGAAGCTGCTGCTGAGACCATGGTCCTCTACCTACTCAGGAAGTCAGAAATGAAAATAAAAAATACTATTACATTTAAAAGAGATTCCTATTCAAAGGAGGGGATTTCTGGGGAGGAGGGAGGAGGGGGTGTGGGGTAGAGGGAGGAAAATGAAGATGGTTGTTCTGGATTTTCCTTCGATCACAAGATTTATCTCAAGATTTAGCCTTGCACCCCGCTCTGGAAACTATAAGGTGTGTTCAATGAAAATAGAACATGGGGTGCGAAGGCTTATTTGCCCAAAAAGAAAAAAAAACTCCAAATTTGGAGGATTTTCTTGTCCCTCCGATTTCCTCCCCAAAACAAAAACACACACAACCCCCAAATATTCATCCAACGAAACAAAGGTTAAACAAGGGCATATTGTAACCTCAATGAATCCACGGCCAGTGACATTTGGTATAACGCATGGAAAGCTAAGGGATTGGATCCCATTATGATCCAAAAACGAGTCAGTCCCCAGCATATCACCACAATTTCCCTGGACCAAATATTTCCCTTCTAGTGCACATAGAAATCTGAAAGAAATGAAAAGAGTAACTAAATAGTCAGCTCAGTGACCAAATGACTAAAGAGGGGGAAGCAACTGCCATAAATAGAAATATGTGCACCTTGTGTTGGGCCGCGACAAGTCGAAGCCTTTAAGTGAAAAGCGAGTACCCTTGGAGACAGGAACAGCAATTGGTTTGACACTTGATATCTTGCAGCCGTTGTAGCCATTAACTGGTAGAGGTGTGTCTAAAACAACCTGGCCTGTGTAGAACAAAAATTAAGTGTGCATTCATTTTGTATTATTGATACTTGGGGTTTCATCCTAAAAACTCAAGTAGATAGGAGTAGACAAATAGTTTGTGGCCTTATGTGTTGGTTTGATTTTATTTATTTTATCAATTTGGGATGAAAAAGCTTTTGCGTGCGTGTGTGAAAAGTCTGAAATGAATATAAGGCAGTGTGTTTCAAAAGTTGTATATGTATGCTTTAGAAGTGATTAAAAAAAGAAGGCAAAGCTCTTAAAACTTTTGACGTGAATCAGCATTCCCGTCTTTCCATACATACATATTTTATGTGTGTGTGTGTGTGTGTGTGTGTGTATGTATGTATAGTCATCAACTTCCATTCCATATGTTATAAGGAAAACTGGAGTATGGATGGCCAGAAAGAAAACAAGATACCATTAAATACAAAAGCTATCCGGTTTTGAACTCGAGTATAGATCCATCCTGTTTTCCAAAATGAATCAGAAGACGCATCAATGAGCTTCCTTAAACTAGAGCTGAGGTCACAGCCAAGCTACAAAATAGAAGCAAAACAGAAATAACAGATAAATTATGTGGCAATAGTAATATGACCAATGAAAATAGAGCATCTTATGCTCTGCTCTGATGAACTGATGTCAAGTTTTATGCAAGCTTCGAAAACACGGAGCCATGCTATCTACAAACCTATCATCCTAACTTCGTTAAAGTCTGAGGATCAAGATGTATACAGCCTTACACCGTAAAATTAGAGCCAGTTTCAGTTAGACCATGGTGAATTACTTCATTTTTTAAGTAAATGCATTTCTGCATTTACTACTTAAATATTTACAAATCTTTACAGAAAGTAAGAATCAAAGTAAGTTCAATGTGTTGTTTTTATAATGATTCTTTTAGCTCCATTGGCAATGGACATAACAAAACTCGGTGTCTAAAGAGGGTACAACTTTGGTGAAACGGATCATGGGCTGAAAATGCAGCTGAATTTGATAAATGAATTGAATTAACCGTTTTTTGATAAATTAAATACAATAATATCTAGAAACATGAGCTAAACCCTATATCCTCAACCCAATCAGCCAATGCAGACAGAACCGACAAAAGTTAGTGTTCTGTAGGAAAGAATAAGGTTTATAAGATACAACCTCCTCAAAATAAAATTTACTCTTTTCTTTTAGGGATGTCCCAAAATAAAGTTCACACTTCCTCATTTTCCTATTAAGGAAGTCAATATGTGGCACACAACATTTCTCTTTCTTCTAAACAAATTCCAACCACTCATTTTTTACTTTTCAACACCTTTCTTGAACTCCTTGAATTCAGACTCTAAAGTTCAATTTGGGATGAAAGGAGTTTATAACTGGTGCTACCTTGCTAGAAAACGGGGCTAAGCAAGTCAATATGTTCATAACTTGCATATCCAACTTGCCATTAGAGATTAGCTACACATATTTAAAACTTTAAATGAAAGAGAACATACCTCCTCCCATACAGATTTATCCATTCGCAAGTATATTGTCAGTATGACACAGCCAGGTCTAATATAGCTTTCAATTTCAGTAGGACTGTTTGAAAGCCAATCAACAATCTACAAGATGATGATGATGATGATGATGATGATGGAAAAGACAACCGATTAAATTATGCTGCAGAAAGTTTCTCTAAGATTTTAAAAGACATGGGTTGTTACCTGTTTCCGTAAGGCCAAAGGGAGATCACTAGGACCCTTCCCAAAAAGCTTGAATACAATCCGGTCCGTTCGACCCTATCAATTTAAACTCATAATGAAGAAGAAGAAGAAGAAAAAGTATTGTTGCTTTGGGGCACATAAGTTACATACCAAGTCTCATGTTATTATACACAACACTCTCTGCGTCCCTCAAAACATTCCCAACTTTCCATTTTTGCCCGTTCCAAAAGAATCGTGTTTCCTTTTGAAGGAAAGAAATTAAAGGTTCATATTTTGTTCTTTTCTAAAAAACCTCAACCGCAGAGATTTCATTTTAATTATCTCCGTGCCAATAGAAGTTGGTAAACTATTGCGGGACGAAAGGAGTATAAATCCTTTAAGGAATATTTTCTCAATCGGATTTGATTTTTTAGGAAAACATCAAAACTAACTCAAGATGCAGCATCTTTTGATCACCAAATGCAACATTGTTTGCATTTGCCAAGATAATGTAGCATATTTATAATACAATTTTTTGGTATTTCAGAAATTAATAGGGAAAAGTGGTCCCATCCCCAGAGCGTCTACTCTGTAATAAAATTCTGTTCTGTGCAAAAGAAATCCCGGGCACCATGAAAAATGACTTTCACCGCCCTTGAGTTAAATATACCTGAGCCTCGGCACTGGAATTAGACGGTGACAAGCTTGATGTTGAACAAGTGTTTCCACTTGTCCGAGTGGAGCTCGACTTATGGGGATCTTGAGAATCCCATAAAGGACAAGCAGTAGACTTTTTGCCGGGATTTTGACTGGGGCAGGAACTTTTAAAACCCCCCATGCAGTCTTGTGAGTCATCATACACATTATTCAAATCAATGTTATGCATTGTTGCCTGTTTGACCAAATTATCTGTGGCAATTGAGCTTTCAGGCTGTCCATATTCAGCATTAACTGCTGCATCAATGTTCTTCCCCATCACTTCTGATGGGGATAGATTCGCAGAATTCCCTACCGGCTGGCGAGAGTCCTGAAAGTGATCCAATAATTAGAATTAGAAATTTAAAAAAAAACATCATTTAGCTTTTCTAGAGCTTTGAATCAAGTTAGGCACCTTTTCGGGAGATCCAGCAGATGTTCCTGCATTCTGGGGATCCTGAGAAGCAGGTAATGTCCCAGAGAGGTTCCTTTCGCCATTTAAGCCAGGCAGACTTGCTAGGCTCCTCAATAGATGAGAGAGAATATCCTGATCCTTTGTTTGATCAGAGCTATTTGCCGTACCTAACAAATTTTATTATCAAAAACATTAGTTGACAAGTACTCTCTCCGTCCACAAATGTTCTTTCCACTTTCCTTTTTCATCCGTCGAAAAATGTTCTTTTCATTTCCTTTTTTGGAAAATTTTTTATCCTAAAAAGACATTACTTCCCCTATTGACTACTACCTACCCATCACCCACTCTTGGATCAACTTTATCTTAATTTTCCTTATTTATCATTATCTATCACATCTCCACTATTCATCTACACTTATTACTTTATTCACTTCCTATACCCAAGGGCAAAAAGTGAAAGTCAAAGCAATTTTTATTTCTCCTAAATATGCGTGTAAAGTCAATATAAGAAGTAAATTAGTGGAGGCAGGGAGTAACATCTCTTGTATGCAGACACAAATGGTTGTTGGACATGGATGATAAATCATCCCACACCGGACTAAGTATAAAAATACAAACTAAGATAAAAGGTCTAGAGCCACTACTACTATGAATCAACCTGTTAGGATTAAATCAGCTTTTTTTCAAGGGCGAGTAGAGAATATTAAGCTCAAATGAACAAACAAGCACGTGAAAGATAGGATTGATCGGCTACACATTCTATTTGTGAATCCAGAAAGTGAGTCTCTAATTAAATCGTAAAAGGTATGCTGATGTGAAGTTCATCATTAAAAATCCCTTCCCAATGTATTGCTTATTCTACAATTCACTCCGTAATATTTTAAAATTCTTTTTAGAAACACTTGATAGAATGTACTCACAACAACCATCTTATATTTTTACCTCAATCAACAATTACTAATATATTCCACCTTATTAGACTTAGAAAACTCAACTTTCCCTCCTAAAACTCACCTTCATTAAAGAACACAATTTAGTTCATACTTAGACATGGGATGATAAAACAAAAATTCCACAAACGTTTACTAGGATAATAGCACTAAACAATGAGACACATTGACCAATGAAATGAATGAATGTTAATGTATAGTAAGATCAACACTCACCATGCAAATTGGTCAGTATCCTTAGCAGACTAATTAATAAATAATTAGTACCCCGCTCATCATTCATTAGGGGTGCATTGGTTACATTTTCGGGATGTGTCTTTCTTCTCCGACTGTTGTGTCCAGCTAAACGCCTTCGGCAACTACGCTTCCCCTCATCAAACTCTTGAAGAATGTGAAACCTGCCCAATGGTAATGAAAATATGGAAAATTTTGTGAAAATAGGAATAAGTTTCATCATCATCTTCATCATTACGATTCATGAGCATCATATACCCAACTTAGGTAGGGAAAAGTGCCATGAAATCTACACTGCCAGTAATTAACTGCACAAACTAAAAAAAATCATTAACACTACGTTTGGTTCAGGGATTTTGAAACGAAAAGAAAAGGAAAATGAGATAGAAAATATTTTTTCTTGGTTGTTTAGAGAGGAAAAGAAAAGAAAAGTGGAAGAAAAAGAAATGAGAATGCAAAATGTACTCTGATGAGGGAAAACAAAATTCCTCCCTTTTTGATGAGGAAAATGAGAGAAAACTATTATCTTTTCCTTCCAAATTCCACAAACCAAACGTAGTGTTAAGTGAATCCCAAAAGAAACAAACAGACCTGCTGCACTGCTGACAGAATCGCTGCACGGAATTTCCGACCAAGGCTTTGGTAACCTTAGAATGGGTTTCACAAACTTTATGTCTCCTGTGATAATCCTTAGCATTGGACAAATCCAACTGACAGTCGTCCACTTGGCAAACAGCACGATTCGATGATCCGCCCGCAACTTTTGTCTTCTTCCCACTCTTTCTTTCCCATGTTTCCATTTCGTCCTCTGTTATTGGGAAAACTTGACCACCAAGCTTCAAATTAAGCAAACCGCATTCGTTGAGATCTTCCACCTGCTCAACACCAACCACCCTCCTTCGCTTCTCCATTTCCATCTTCCCTTCTTTCTCATTCGATGCCACCAATTCAGTAGAAGCAGAGCTGTTGGAGACAACTCCAGCGTTGTTCCCGGCCTGGGATCCATCTGGGAACAACTGTCTGCTCCTACAATCCGACGGCAAACGATTCAAAGGAAGGGCTGTGAACAGATCGCCGTCCCACTTCCAATCATTCAAGTCCCACTCCATGCTCCGTTTTCCCACCGCCTTCAAATCTGGAAAAACTGGGCCATAAAGATTATGACCCTTCCCACCAACCCTTGATTCCATGGATCAACAACACTTGTACCCACAAAATCCCCACAATTCAGAACGAAGAACCCCAAAATCACCTCCCCCAAATCAAAATTAAGCTAAAATTACCTCCCAATCAACCCAAGATCAACCTTACAGAGTGAAGAACAAGGAACCCACAAATCCATGGAACCAAACAAGAGCTACTAACACCCACATCCAAGAAATCTTCGGGTTAGCTCAATTACATTTTCCCGGAAGAAAACCCTTGTTCAAACGCTAAACCACCAATATAAAAATTAAAACTGGATTCTGCTTTTTTGACAATCCAAAAGCTAGATGCGAGTATAATTGTACCTAGCTATGTATCTACGCAGCCTTTTCCGGGCTTGTATTTAATTTACTTGGCTTCAAGCTGACAAGCTCAGTAATTATAGGAAGATGAGAATCAAACTCTGAACATAAATTACACAAATTAAATAAAATAAAAATAAAACTTGCCGATAGTATAGGAGCTGAGATTTGATCGGAAAACGTGTAGCTCTGGACCAAAGATAGCCGGCGTAAAGAAAGTATAAAGACCCACCCACAACCAAAAGCTTAGAGAGAGAAAATCCAACAACTGTTCTTTCTTTTAATCATTTCTCTTAATTAAAATCCAAGTATTCCATTCATACTCAAAAAGAAAATTCTTGCAGAGTTTTTTTTCTGTATTAACTGTTCCAAGATAAAAAAAATTCATTTTTTTTCTTTTCTTTATAGAAATAATATGTGGTTGAAAACATTTTTCTCTCTTGGACTATTTATTTTTCATTATTTAACATATTTTTTGAGAGAATTTTCCAAACACTCATTTTATCTAAATTATTCTCTTGTGTCCCTCTATTTGAATTATTCCACAATATGGAGTACTATCTGCATGTGAAATTAATATAAATAATATTCCACGATATGGAGTACAATCAAACTTTTTTTAGTATTATACTATAATGTATCATTTGTTCATATTTTTTCAATTTAGAATTTACTTGCATTATTTTTAATGAAATTTATTTTTAACATATCTTTAATCTCGTATGTTAAATTAAAATGGGAAATCTTTTTTTCGACGAAAGAAATTTACGGAGTATACTTTTTCTGTATTAAAAAAAAGCACACCTTAGCTTAGTGAAATTTTAGTAAAAAATTAAAAAAACGAAAAAGTATAAAAGAAAATTATTTTAAAAAATAGATAAATGACATCCACTCTATCTCTTAAAGTCCGTATAAAAAATACCCGAGTAGAAAAATGCTAGCGGTACACTAAAAGTATACTTCAAGTTTACTCTAACTATGTGCTCGAACTCCACACACTTATGTATGTAAAAGAAAAAAATACATAAAAATGTATGATAACAAAATGGATGGTGTACGTTTGGTGTACACATTTTGAGTACCTCTAGCATCCCTCAAAAAAACTGAAAAATATTTCGTGGTGTACATCTTGCCAAATATGTAAATAAAGGTACCAAATAATGGTTTCAAATGATCAAAAAAATAAATACCTAAATGTACAAAAGGTAAGATTGTAAATTTTGTGATTCTTTTGTTTGTGACTCTAACATTACTTCAAAAAAATATGGATACGGCATAAAAGGACATGGATAAGTGAAGTGTTCGACAACGGCATGCCATCTAAAAAAAATTCACATTTTTGACTTGGCACGAAGATTAAAAAAAATTAAAAAGCATAAATACTTTCCATGTGTTGCCTTGATGTGACTTAATAAAGTGAATAATGTAGAAAAAATAGAGGTATAATGACACATTAATTAAAAGTTTTTTGCCAAAATAATGAACGAAAAAGAAATTTTTGAATAATCCAGAAAGGAAAGTGGAAAATAAATTATTGGACAGGTACCATTTATTTGGTACTGTCCCATACCGCGTTAAATAAACCTGAAGCTTTTTACTTATTTGTAAGCTCGTTGTTTTCAAGGTTTGTTTATCTTTGACTTTTATATGGTATGAAATCACTTCATTTGTTTTACCACTTTTGATTCTCTCTTTCCTTCTCACGAAATTATGTTCAAGAGTTTAAAAAAATTAAAAAAATATAAGAGTATGATTATAATTTATTTAGACGGGAATGTTGCGTATCATGTAAGAATTATATCTCACCTAGTGCTAAGATAAGTAAGTTTCGATATCTTGGCTCGGCCTTACCCCACGTTGCACACAATGGCGGATCCACAAAATATGAAAACATGGGGCATGAATAACAGTGAGGGGGTACGGGGGTGCTGTGCCCCGGAATATTTTTAAAGACTGTAAAATGGTATAAGTAATGTTAAATTCCATCTAAATATTGTGAGCTACTACACATACTTTATAATTAAGTAAAAAAATAATTTTAAATTTTAAATTTATAAAAAAAATATTAAAACTATTTTAATTGAAGATTTAAAATGCTTTGGCCCTTTTTTATTTTGCACAAGTCAGGTTTGGCAAATTAATGGGTGCATGTTATCTTTTTTTTAGTGGAGGCATATTTTAAATTTCAAAAAACTTAAGTATTATTAAATTATCTTTAATTTGAATGTCATTGGGGGCAAGTGCCCCTGGTTGAACATTGTGCTGGAGGAGCTTGGACTTAGTGAAAGTTGGCTTCAGATGAAAGTTAAGTTATATAAGCTCGTGGTCCAGGACCGGACCAATAGGGGGACAAGCAGTCCGTCCGGGCCGAGCCCAAAAATTTTAGGGGCACTTTTTTTTAAATATTATATATATATGTATGTATGTATGTATGTATGTATGTATGTATGTATGTATGTATGAGAAGCCCACCCAATATATAAAGCCCAATGCCCCAATCCATCCTTTAACTTAGAGCATCTCCATTGTGTAGTATAAAAGTTGGTAGTGTAAATTTCATTTTACACTATCAACAATATTTTACACTTCCACTTTTTTTTGTTTACTCCAATCATATTTTGTATAATATACTCCCTAGTACATTTTATTCTTTTCCCTATCTACAATCAACTTATAAAAATACACTTTGCCAATTGCATTTTACCCTATATTGTATTTTAGCACTTGTTTTACCCTCTCCCTTGGAGTGTTAAAAAATCAACCATAAAGTGTATATTGTGTAAATTTTAGCATATAGCCTATACGCTGGAGTTGCTCTTACCCTTTTACTTACGCGCATAACCACGAAAGAAGAACCGAACGGAAGAAGGCTGGGCAACCACGAACGGAACTACTGACAGAAGAACGGACGAAGCCGCCGCCGCCAGATGCACCGCCGGACGCCGACCCTCAAGCTTCAGCCTCCAGGCATTCCATATTTCCATATTCATAGCTTTCCAATTTTGTAATTCTTATTTCTTAATTTTCTTTCATAGTTTCGTTCTTTAGATTTAAAATATAGGGTTAATTATTAATTTTTAATTTTAAATTGTTGTTAATTGCTATGAAATAGAGTGAATTAATGGTATATGTTACTTTTTTGATTTGGATGAATTGATTTAAATTTATGATATATTTGTATATAAAAAACTGAAAACTAAAAAAAGTGACGAAAAAGAAAAAAAATTAAAAACTGAAAAATTGACGATTTGATATGAATTTATGATACATAAAAAAAAACTAAAACTGAAAAAGAAAAAAACAATTGACGAATTGATATGAATTTATGATATATTGATTTATTTTATTGCTTTTCCATAAGGATAAGACTTTTAGAGCCTTTTTTCTGTTTACGAATTGACGAATTGTTAGACCATTAAGGATTGACGAATTGTTAGACCATTAAGGATTGACGAATTGTTAGACCATTAAGGATTGACGAATTGTTAGACCATTAAGGATAAGACTTTTAGGGTCTCTTTTTCTGTTTCGGCCCAGGCTGATGAATCCTCAGGACCGGCCCTGCCGTGGCCAGACCAGTTATGTTGTATGGTGTTGAGTGCTCGCCAGTTAAGAAAATCTTCGTTCACCAGCTGCATCCAGAAGAGATGTGGATGTTACGTTGGACGAGTGGTAAGACGAAGATGGATAAAATTCAGAACAAGGTTATCTGAGGAAGGGTGGGTGTGGTACCAGTATAAGAGAAGCTTCAAGAAGCTAAACTTAGATGGTTTGAACGTGCGAGACGACAAGTGGTGATGCCCAGTGCAGAGATGCGAGAGGCTTACGTTAATGGGTGGGAGTAGGGAAAAGGGTAGACATGACTTGAGACTTCTTGCCCTTATCGCTAATATGGACTTACATAGTAATTTTTGGGAAGCTACGATTAGAGTAGTTGGCTAGGCATTTTAGACTATGTGGTAGTTGATGCATTCTTTATTGTATGTTTGGTGTTTTCGATGTTAACTTTAGTTTGCTCTTTGTGCTTTGTGCTTTCTCTACTCCATGTGCTTTTGTGATATTTTATAATTGGTGTTTCGTCACGGTCGCAGGGTTATTTTGATACCATTTGTAACACCCCGCCCCCACCCTAGACGTAAGTATCCGCTCATCATAAGATTGTAGACTGGCCCTACAAACTAACACAAGTCTTTCCCGCACACTTTGTTCTCGCTTGTTGGTATGAGTACTACTATCAATCTTTTTGAGTCTTTTCTTTTCCCGATTCATTTATTTTTCAAATCAAGATATTACAGACATTCTTTCTAAACTCTACGACCATGGGATCCAACTAGATTACTTTTGGTGATTATAAATCGTTTTGAAGAGCACAAATTGTTGGTAGCTAGATATTTAGAAACATTTACGCCATTATTCCGAAAAATTTCATATTTGAGGTCAAACTTCCATTTTTTAAAAATGACACCATCGTTCCAACAATTCACATATATTTATGATACTTATCTCTTGGTCACCTCACTTGCTTAATCACCTTTCACATTGATTCTTAATTAGTTTATGTTGGGTTTTAAATTTTATTTTGTCCTTTTGTACATAGAGATGGATTGGTCTGCCAATTTTAAATTTTTTCATTCTCATTTTTTATGCTCTAAAAACAGTGAATAATTTGTCGGTTTCAATATTTTTCGGATTAGCAGTGAGTATATCCGCCGATTTTCATTTTTTTGTTTATCACCACATTTATCTTTGAGTATTTTTATTTATTGATTTTTTGCATGCAAATTTGAAAAATCTCAATCATTAATCAAATATTCATAAAATTTATATTAGATATTGATTTTGGAACTCCTTCACAATATATTTAACACAATCAAGTCACACAAACATCAATACTCAATTACAATCTATGTCCATATTGATAAAAGAATAATTTTATTATATTTATCTAGTAAACTATTTTCAAAATAGTATTTAATTCAATTAATATATCAAGTAATATTTAATTAATTAAAGGTCAATGTCATCTCTCGTTGACTTTAAAAAATGGACAAATACTAAGCAAAGGACGTAGTAAGAACCACAACTGATTTCCATAATAATGCTTCTTTCCTGCTATTAATTATAAGGTAGAATTGGGGAATAATTGTGGTTAATTATGCTCTCAAATAACTAATATGGGAAAAAGTAGGGGTGGGCAAACAAGTCAAGGAACCGGGAGTCGGACCCGAACCACCAGGTTCGGTCCGTGTTAGGGGCGGGTCCTCTTTTCAAAAATTTATAACGGTTAGGGTCCGTTCGATCCTTATAGATTTTAGGGTCGGTCCAGTTCCCCATTTTGAAATTGTATTGAACCCGGACTGGACCGTTTTTTGATACCTTAGTATTATTTTTAGTAAATACACCGGCCTTAGTCTTATGATCGAGTTACGCCCTTCAATCTTTCGTAGTAGTCAGAGAGTCGGAAGTCACCAAACAGTTTGTTGTTGTTGTTGGATGATCATGGGGTGCACACTTTACTCTCATGCCTCTCTTTGTCATTGTTTTGTCTACATTTAGGCCTCTTTTTTGTATTGGATGACTTAAAATTGACAATGGGGATAATACATTGTTGTGAACTAATGGTGAATCACCATGTATGTGTTATTAATTTATTATTACTTTATTTTTTTTAATATTAGTATCATGATAGGTTCAAAACCGTTGACCCGCGGAATCAGCCCGTTTCAAACAAGCCGGGTTAGGTGCGGTTTCAATTTTAAAAATTTGAAAACCCGTTCCGGCATGGACCATTTTAATAAAAACAAGCCGAGTCTGGTTTATGCAAATCTTGGCTCGAACCGGCCCATGCCCACCCCTAGGAAAAAGTGGTATGTTCTGTCTTTTTTAACAAAACGAAAAATGAAATTAATATGAAATTTGACAATGTTATCGCCGCTCTTTGTTTAAAAGAGAGTATTTTTATATCAAAATCGGAAGAATTGTCTCCCATTTCTAGAGCATATAAAAAAATAGAAAAAGAGAAAAATAAAACCAACGAACCAAAACACCATTATCTAAAAAAAAAAAAAGTTCAATATCCCCTCAATCTCTAACAGATTGCCACAGTTCGGTTGGAATGTGACCCCGCGATCGCCCTCTGAACGATCAGAATATGAGTTCAACCTTTTTTTGTAATGTTAAGTATTGACTCACAGGTTTTGATAATTGACAAACACAAGTAATTCAAATCAAGAATAAAGTGTTACATTGACAAACAGAAAGACTTGAAGTACCAAATCTCTTGAAGTATTCAAGAAGGAACATTGGATTTAATGAAGCCAAAATGCCTAAAGGAGCGCCTTACAGAAAGTGAAGAAGATTTTTGAACACTTTTAATTTATTTAAGTCTTAGGAAATATTGTAGGGATGATAGAAATATTCTTCACTTCAAAATTATTTTTATGAAAGTTATATAAAAATTATATTTATTTTGGGGTCAATTGAAAAATCTTTTTTAACTGTTCAAAAATGCTTTTATTGAGTCAATTACGAAAGTATGTCAACATTGATCAACATACTTATCTTGACATTAGAAAATATTTTGGTAAGTAAAATATTTTATTAAAATATTTTTGGACATCGTTTAACACACAAAATATTTTTTCAGACTCAGTTTTGCACCCCAACTAAATTCAAATTCAAAATTTGAATTTAGATACATCATTGGGTCTTGGAACCATTAATTCAAAGGACCATGCTACACACCCCCACCCTTGCTATCAACCTTGCCTCCACCCACTTCTCTACCACATATTTATCTCTACCTATTCTCCACCCACCCTCTAATTTTAATTTTCTTGCCTCACTACCACATGTTTATGTAGGGGGCATGAGTGATAGCAAGGGTGGAAGGTTTTTAGCATTTTCCTAATTCAAAACGTCTTCACACGGGGAACAATGATATGTTGTCTCTTGGTCCATTGTCGCGTGCAAATATCCTTTGACATCTTGTCTTTGAAAGATTCACGTCAGAAATCAATTTTCCTCATGCAAAAAAATGATTTTTCGTCTCTGAAATTCTCGGATTGGAAAATAGACCACAAAAATCGATTTTTGTAGTTAAAAATCGATTTGTAATAGCTTTTTCAGCATCACCCTCTTTTCTTGGACCAATAGACATATTTTCTTTACGCTATTTAAATCCGTCTCCCATGGCATTTTTAAGACATGAGAAATACTTTAAAAACACCTCTATATGATTCTTTCATCAAATTAAGTTATTTTGAGAGAACACTGTTTATTTTCACGAGAGTGTTATTGTCATCTATAGAGCTTAATATTTTTCATTTCTACTTTTGTGAGACTTCTTGTTGAGAGGTTACAGAAGATTACTCTTCTTGGTATACAAGACTTATGTGATGAAGTCTTGTAGAGGATACATCTACGAGTGGTTGTATTGAGGCTTATGCAACTTAAGTTTCTGGTTGTAAATGGTTTGTCAAGCACTCGGTTAAGCTTGATAAGTAGTGGTAGCTTCGAGAGGGTCTCTCGGGAAACTGGACTAGCACAAGGTGGTGAACTAGTATGCATCAGTGTATTCTTTGCCTTCTCTTATTTATTTTTGCTGCACATTCATTTACTTACATACACACCGCAAAAACTGGTAAACATTCTCAACAACTGTATTTATCCACTCTAGAGTTGTGCACATCGAGTAATAAATTTGGCTTTTTTGGTCAAACTGTGACACCCTTTGATCACAAATTAAATAAAATTTAAAAGAATTAAATATTATAAAAATTTAATATTTCAATACTATATTTAAAATAACCTAACTTTACTCAATTTACATTATAACTAAATATACTTTTTTCATAATTTACGGTCAAAGGGTGATAAGGTCTAACAAAAAATTAAACTGTGACAATCCTTTACAAAACACAACTATGTATGCACTTTTTTTAAACTAGTGGATTATTCATCCGCTTCTAAAGCATTATATTACAAAAAAATACAGACCAATCCTCTGCTACATATAAAATATAAAAAAAATTAAAATAATAACCAAGGGATCATATCGAGGGTGATCAAGCAAGGATAATAAATTTTGTTACCCTAATAGTATTTTAGTACTTATTCAGTTTGACTTTTTCGAGTTAAATTGGATGAATTCTAAACTTAAATTAAGTAAAAATTATAATGGATATTAGTTTAAAAATGATTTTAGTATAATAAAAGTCTAACTCACGATCAGCGGTTCATTTTTCTACTCTCCGTATGACTCCTCGCAGTCAGCCGTTCAGCACTTCAGCGCCTCAACCCTTCTTGCTCAGCCCCGTTCAGCGCCGATTGATCGTCGTCTCCAGCAACCGTGTGCCGCCGTACCGCCTCCGCTGGTACGCAAGAGGCAATTCCCTCTCCGGATCCTGCGCTCCGAGCTTCCAATTTTGACAGGTTTTATATTTAAATTTAAATGTTACTCCGGAGTAATACTTAAAATCTTTAGTATTTAATATTTTAATTTATTGTTGTTTCAGATTGACGAATGGTGATAATTGTGTAGTCTGAAGTGTTCAATTCAATTACGTTTTTTAATTGTTCAATGGTAATTGCATAGCTTAATTGTTTAATACTTTTAATAAAAATGAAAAAGAAAATATAATTTTGTTAACTGATAATATTTTCACTTATTAAAGCTATTGAGTTATGAACAAATTTGTTATTACTTTGAAGAATCATGATTAGGAAGCTTTTATAATATTCAATTACTTTGTTTTTTATTGAATTAAAATGAGGGTTTTGCCCAGTTAAAGAACTTTGATACAAAAATTATACCTTTTGAAATTATTTGTTTTTAATTTTTATTTGTTTGTTTAAGATAAAATTTATTACTTTTTGTCATTTCATATTGTCTTTATAAAAAGCTAGGGCTCTGCCCCCGAACCCCTTAATGTATTTTGGTGCCCTACCAAGAAATTAATCCAGGCTTCGCCACTGAATCCAAAACAAAATATCCGGAGATAACAGAACCTATGTATCTTTTGCTCGCCAAATATGCCCTAAAGGTTTACAAAATAGAAAATCTATCGATTAAAAAATGAAAATTATACACAAATAAATTTTTCTATGTTTTGTTCTTTAAATAGAATTGTTGGTGCTTTGAAATATCTGTAATTTGATATTGTATGTTGGCATCTCACAATGTTTTTTTTGGCATTATAAGTCCTATTTTGATATAAAAATTAAAAGTTCTATTTTGACGTATGGAGCAAATTTTAGAATTGGTCAGGTATGGTTCCCTTACAAAATGTGAGTACACTGAGTAAACAGAAATAAATTAGGGGTAGGCAAAAATACCGACACGACATTATTCTTTGCCAAATAAAAGTTCAAACTAACATGGTACCAAACATGCATTATAATAAAACTTGTTTTAGCTCTTAAACCATTACGGTATGGTTTGACATCGGTGTGATATGGCACTGTACTGTTTGAAGTTGACAGGATACCTAATGGTTTTGGTTGTAAAACTGAACCGTACCAAACTGTTAGAATAGTAATGGTATGGTACGGGTTTTATTAAAATCCGTGAACCGTCACGGACCGTGCCCATCCCTAAAATTAATATTGAGTATGTTCCAAATTTAATTTACCTTATTTACCTCATTTTTTACATATTGATTTGTATGGTAGTTGTGTTAAAAAAATGTTTGGTAGTTACTCAAGTAAAGCTCTTTTGGTCTCCTAAATAAGTTTACAATTTCATTTTACATATTATAAAAAGTGTTTAAAGAAAAAAATAGTTTAAATTTGCTGGTAATAAAAAAAATTATAAACCCCAAGAGAGAAATACAATACCTATTTGGAAAAAAAGCAACAAACAAACAAACAACAACAGCATTACCCCAGTGCCTTAATGGCTCTTGTCCATTGCGGGCTAAGGGGGGGTCGGATGTACGCAGTTTGACCCCTATATTTAAAACATTGCGGGCTAAGTTGCATTCACTAACTGCTACTTCACAATTGCAAGAAGCGCAGACAGTTTAAAGAGTCAATTTCTTTATTCTATCATACCCCAAAGCCAAAAAATAGTGAATATTTGGCTCCATTTGGGAGCAAAAAACATAAAAATAAAATTTCTTACTATAAAAAAATGTATGAGTACATTTCAACGGGGACTTGGTGGCTATGGTAAAAGTTTATTGCATCATGACCCCCTGTGATTTAGTAAATGTGCATCGTTACCCTCTATGATTTCAAAACTTACGCTGTTGCCCCTCATGGTTCTGAAATTGCTACGCCAATGCCCCTATAGACTAAAATATCCTTCAAATATTATGTGAATAGCTCCACCGCCCCCTATGGTTTTGGAAATTGGCACAAATGCCCCCTCTTTTCTTTATTTTTTCTTTTTTCTACTATTTTTTTCATAAATGTTTTTCATTTCTTTTTAAAATTATTTTTATAGTGTTTTAATAATCAATATTTTTGTGTTTGCAATAAAAATCAATTAAATCACAAGAATTAACGTACACTTTAGTTTCTGCTCATTTCTCATTTCTGTTCATTAATTTTATACCGTTTCTTTTAGTTTAGTCAAAATTAAAATAAAAGAAAAAAGAATAGAAAACAAAATAAAGAAAAAGAAATGTATTTGAAAAAAATACATTTATAGAATAGGGAAAATTAAGTCATGAAGGAAATCTTTTGTGCATTGGTCCAAAAATTATTAATAATATTTAATTAACTATATATAATATAAGACGTTACTAAGTATTCTTTTGGTCCCGACATATTCAAAAAGATAAAAACTTTTTACATAGATAAATGAAAATATTTAATTTGACAAATGAAGTATATCTTAATTTTTTTATTTTAAACACAAACTTTTTTTCATTTTATAAAACTTTTTTAAAAATTTAGGTTTGAAAAAAAAAATTCATTATTTCACACAAACAATTTTCTTCTCTTTATGAAAAAAAAGAAAAACAATAAAGAAAAAGGAGAGGCGTTGGCGCCCATTTCCAAAACCATGGGGGACAGCGGAGTTATTCACCTAATATTTGAAGGATATTTTTGTCCAGAGGGGCATTAACGTAGCAATATCAAACCATGAGGGGCAACGACGTAAGTTTTGAAACCACGAGGGGTAACGGTGCACATTTACCAAACCACGAGTCTACAAGGGGTGTTGTTGCAATAAACTCGCTATGGTGAGTATGCAGAAGAATAATTGGACCAAACTTGATTAAGTTTGGAAAAATTTGTGTCAATAATTTCAGAGTTATGTGCATAAATAGTTCATTTGGTCTTCTATAAGTAGGTAAATAGTTCATGTGCTTTCAAAAGTTGCGAAATAATTCCCGTGGTTACAAAATCGTTGCATAATTGGAGCATCCCTAGTCATTCCACTCTAATTCTTCTCCACGTCATCACTTTTAATGCCACATCATTTTCCACTTTGATGTTCCTCACTTAGCTTCATGCCAATCATTCCTCTCCATTTTCCTTTTTATGTGGGCCCCCTTAAGTTTTCTCTCAAAATGTTTTTTATCTTCATACTCCCTCTGTCCCAAAATAATGTTCCCATTTGACTTTTGGTATCCAATGTCACACTTTAGCCATTAATATCTATATCCATACATTAGTTTTTTTTAAATAAAATATGATATTTCAAAATTTCATTTCAAGACAAATCAAATGATATTAAACTTACAAAATTATTCAATATATTCTTTTCGAATGTTACGGTCAAAGTTTTTCAATTTTGACACCAAAAAGTCAAGTGAGAACATTATTTTGGAACAGAGGGAGACTTTTTTATCATTTTATTTTTCAACATCATATACTTTTTTTCTTAAAAACAACTCTATAATGTGTATTATTAAATTTAGCCTAACTTATTTTATCAATTTCTGTTTTAAAACATACTTAATTTCTAATTGTATTTTATCTGTCTCTTTCACCCGTCTCTGTAATTTATTCTCACAGAAGAAGCAAAGAATAGAAGAGGCATAGTGTTCATGTCCAAATCTTCCTAAGAGAATATGGAATAGTTGGGAAGAAGACATTCATAAGGTAGTCCTTGTGTTGCTCTCTCATCGGTGACAAGTTCAAAGCACCTACTCCTTAGGCTTCAAATAAAATCGTCTCTTAATTAAGGGTCCGGGCGGGCATCGCTCCCATCGGCAACATATTTGTGGTGATAGCTTGCTACTTTGGAAGTAGATATAAGAAAAGCATCATCCTTCAGAATGAGTGCAGGTAATTTTCTATTCCCAGGCAACCGCTGTTAGCCTGTTAGCCTTTAGGGTTTATCATATTGATGTTTCCATGAGCATGATTACTTGGAACCATTGTGCGCCTTTGCATTGACAAGACTCAATGTGAAAGAACAAAATCCAATGGTGCCACAGCCCGTACTCTCCTTATGTCAGAGCATGTTGCTCTCTATAGAAAACCTCTGTTAATACATAACTCAATTCTAGAATGCCAATAGCAGTGGGGATGATATGAAAGTATGAACATAATTATACAAACTGCAACTCTGCAAGTCTGCAAGACTAGCAATAAAGTGGAATGATTAGCTACTTCTGGTCCTCCCAAAAATGACTCCTCATATTGAAATTAGTATTACAAATATGTTTTTTTTTGGGGTGGGGGGTGGGGGGGAGTAGTATTTGATAGTGAGCTGTTCATCATTGTCATCATCATATAGAGCTTCAATATTTTTCCTGTATTAATAATTTGCTAAAGCTGTGTGGATTTTATTTTGAAGCTGTTGAAGAGGCTTACCTTCATATGAAGTTTTCTTTCCCACACTTAGATATTGTTTTGGACTTTTGGTTCTCAATGTGTGATTGCAGTCTTTGAATTCTTGCAAAATGGATTTCCCCCCTAAATTTACGAAGAGTGAATGTTTTGTGCTTGTGATACTACTCTCTCTTTTGTTTCCTTTTCCCAAACTCATGAGACAGATACTTGTTAACCTTTTGAAGGGGGGGCATTTGGTGGAAATAGAGGATTGAGACCTGTCCCACCAGAAAAGGGAGTATTTCCGTTGGACCACTTGCATTTATGCGATTCGGTACGTTTGTATTGACGATTATCTTAGTGTTCTCTCAACAAAGATAACTTAGNAAGCTGTTGAAGAGGCTTACCTTCATATGAAGTTTTCTTTCCCACACTTAGATATTGTTTTGGACTTTTGGTTCTCAATGTGTGATTGCAGTCTTTGAATTCTTGCAAAATGGATTTCCCCCCTAAATTTACGAAGAGTGAATGTTTTGTGCTTGTGATACTACTCTCTCTTTTGTTTCCTTTTCCCAAACTCATGAGACAGATACTTGTTAACCTTTTGAAGGGGGGGCATTTGGTGGAAATAGAGGATTGAGACCTGTCCCACCAGAAAAGGGAGTATTTCCGTTGGACCACTTGCATTTATGCGATTCGGTACGTTTGTATTGACGATTATCTTAGTGTTCTCTCAACAAAGATAACTTAGACTCTGTTTGGGAACATTGTTTCTAACTGGGATTAGAGTTTTAGATTTTTCTTTAAAGATGCAGAGCAGCGTTTAAAATGTAAAAGCTAAAGGCATTGTCGGCAAGACGACAGCTTTGTCAATGCACCAGAGCTAAACTCTAATGCTATTGCCAAACGGGAACTTAGTTATTGAGCAGTGGAACCTAAGCTTTTTATTTACTGGGCTGTGTCATTGTATTGGGTTTTTAGGAGAAGAAAGAGTACCTTAGCTGTCTTAAAACATGCGGACATCAATCTGAAAAGTGTAGACAGTTCTCCAAGAAGTATCTGAAATGCCGAATGGAGAGGTAAGATCTATTTTCTTTCATTTTAATATATAGATTCTGAATTGTGTTTTTATATACGGAGTATAAAAGAAGTTTTTTACAGAGCTTGAGTTATGAATAATGGTTGCAGAAACCTGATGGCAAAGCAAGACTTGTCTGAGCTCGGATTCGGAAAGCAACATGATGCAGCAGAAACCCTTTCTTCTGAGGAGGGTAAGGATCCGAGGATAGAAAAATGAAGAACCTTACATTGCATCATTAGCTTCTTCATTTCGGGGATTAGTTTGCTTATGCTCTGTAATTCTTGGGTTAGTCTTGAATTAAGTTTTGCATAATAGATCACTCCAAGTTTGCACCCACAGATCTTATAAAACTTGCTCTTAAGATAATCTATCAGATCCTATGAAAATGATCCTTTATTCCTTTTTTTGGTGTCCTGCAACTTTTCTGCAGCTCTTGCCTTTGCATAGTAATGAGAAAGAACAATGCTCAAATACAAAGTGTATGTGATATGCATTGCTTATAGACAGACTTATAATAATTTTTTTGGGCATTTTTATTTGTGTAATATACAATCAGTGATTATTGTCATGCACACTTTGCACCTTCTCTTGCCTTGGCTATCTGTATATCTCATACCATTATGTACAAATGCATAAAAGTTATCAAAATTTAAATACAGACAATGAATCAATGACTAATGTTTAGTTATAAGATGAGTATTAATGGCAGGCAAGCAATGGATGTGGGTCATGAACTCAATCCCCATTTCAAGTGTTGAGTTCAGGATGAAGTCGGTAGCTCTTGCTTGGTTTTCTTATTTTTATAGCAATTGGGTGAAGTTAAAGTAGATAGAGCTACTGACATTATCACTCAATGAAGCCTAGGCCAATCAATGAATGATTACTAGTAAAATATTAGATGAGACTTTTGAATATTAATGAAAAAAATGTGTCAAGCCGTTCAGTCCGAAGCCTCGATGAAGGCCGTACACGAGGAGATTGATGCTTTAGAAGTCAATGCCACATGAACCCTTGTGCTTGTACGAGCTTACAAAAAACCTCTTAGTAACAAATGGATTCACAAAGTTATCGTAAATCGATGGGATATTGAGTGGTATCAGGCTTTGCTGTGATTTTTTAGAATAATCAAGGGGAAGGTGTTGATTGCACAGAGACATTTGCTCTTATTGTAAAATTGATCACGGTTAGCACTTTTTTGGTCGTGGTTATAGTGCATGCATTCTTGGGAATTGCATCAAATGCATGTGCGAAATGCTTTTCTTCGTGGTGATTTTAATGAAAAGGTTTCCTTGAATTCCCCCCCCCCATGCTTCACAACTTCCCGCTCTAATGTTGCTTGCAAGCTTAGGAAATCAGTCTATGGATTGAGACAAGCTCCATGATGTTGGTTTCCAAAGCTCTCGTGTGCTTTGAAAAGGTATGGTTTCTTATTTAGTTTCTGACTACTTGTTTACCCTGCACAATGTTGGGGTGGTTTATGTTTTAGCCTCTGTTGATGACTTTGTTATCACGGGTGACAGCACTGCTTTAATTGCCAAATTTAAATCATAAGTGACATCTTGTTTTCATATGAAAAATCTTGGTCCATTGAAATATTTTCTAAGCATTGAGGTGGCTCGCATTTCTACTATTTTCTTGGGTTAAAGAAAATATGCTCTTGATATTATTTCTAAGACTCGTCTCCTTAAGTTTTGATCGTTGGGCCCATTGAACTCAATCATCGTCTTGAATTTTTTGAAGCCCCACTTGTTGTCGATCCAGAATCATACCTAGCCTAGTTGGACGCCAAATTTTTTTATCCATTACTCATCCAACGCTGGCATATGTTATTCATACTCTGGCCCAATTTTTGAAGGAACCTCATGATGACAAGTGAAAGGTAGTGCTTGGAGTCATGTGTTTTTTAAAAGAAAGTTCTAATTAAGGTATTCTTCTCTCTGCAAAAAATAATTTGCAGTTGAGTGGTTGATGCGATTTAGACTTGGCTGCTTGTCCTTCGACTAGACATTCTCTCACTGGGTGGTTTGTTCAACTTGGTGATTCACCTGTTTTTTGGAAGACAAAAAATTGCTTGTTACTTTACTGAGGTTGAATACCATGTTTTAGCTACGATTACTTGTGGTAGTCTTCATTCCCTTGGCATACAACATAGTACTCATATGAAAAAGTTTGTTGTGAGAGTTCTGCTACCTTCCATATTGCAGTAATCTTGGTCTTCCATGAAAGAACAAAATATACATACTTTGCTTGATTTTGACTTTGTTCATATGAGTTCTTATGAGGCGTTATTCACACGAAATATATGCCCATGTCCCAACCTGCTAATATTCATACCAAACCTTTGAAGTGGCACAGATTGACTTAATGTTCTCCTTTGATTGGATCTGATATAATTTTTATGAATGTTTGATCTGATTTGAGTGTTTTTCCTCCCAAACAGTTTTTTTTACCAAACTCCTTACATGAATTTAGCGGATAAGGTGAACTCAGTGTTTCCGCGAATGTGGCATTCAATTAAGATCCTTTGTAATTACAAAAAAAAACGGGTAGACTAGGAAATGATGGTAGATTTTATGAGTAATAAATTTGTGAACTTAATCTTTGTGAATAGGGTGGTCAAAATGTTGAAGCATTGCCTGAGGATGTGACAAGATTGGCGGCTCAATGCTTGTCGCCGCCGCACGCTTCTCATTGCCGCACGCCGTAGCTAAGGTTCTTTGCCGCACGCTCAACACTTGACGACGCTGCTTACACCTTCTCTTCACGATTATTACTTTTAATACTATTATTACTATTATTATTATTACAATTATTATGATTATTATTGTTTCTATTATTATTATTTTTACTATTATTATTATTATTAATATTTCTATTGTTATTATTATTTCTATTGTTATTATTACCATTATTATTAGTATTATTAATGTAGTTGTTATTATTATTATTACAATTCTTATTAATATTATTAATATTAATAATATTACTACTATTGTTATTATTTCTATTATTATTACTATTATTATAATTATAATTATAATAATTTTAATATTTATTTAAATCAAATTTATATCAGATCTAATCAGATCAGATTAAACCAGATCAGATGAGATCAGATCCAATTAGAGCAGACCGGTTGAGATCAGACCGCCGCATGCTTCTCTTTGCCCCACGCCGTAACTAAGGCTCTTTGCCGCACGCTCAACGCTTGACGACGTTGCTTGCAACTTCTCTTCACGATTATTTCTCTTCTCCACTTGCGTCTTTTGCTGTTTCAAGGCTAACTGTACCTAGCTTTAAGTAGAACCGGCTGTAGAATATAAATCTTTCTCTTTACAAAAGCAAAAGTAAAGAATCGGATGATTACACTCTAAAAATTTAATTAGATTATTTTGTTTTAAACCTTCTCTAAATGCCATGAAAATTTAAATCAATTGGAAAAATGCAAATTGAATCTAATTATTATTATTATTATTCAATGATTTTTTTATTTATTTCAATAAATATTTGCTTTATTAAAATGATATTTTAGGTGAGAAAAATCTGTGTAGAATAATTGGGCTGGGTAATTTTTTGGGATGGATAAAAACAATTTCGAGTAGCAGTTATATATATTATTAGAAGTATAATTAAATTAGGATACTTCTTTCCTTTCCTACTAGGATTATTCTTTCCTTTCCTACTTGTACTTTGATTACTCTTGTATTCCCTATATATAGGGTCATATCTCTCAATATTCAATAAGACAAGTTATTATCAAATTGTATCATGGTATCAGAGCTAAGGCTCTCAAAAACCTAGCCTCTCTTTTTTTCCGACCGCCGCCCACCATGGCAACCCTGTCGGATCCTTTGGCGTCCTTATCCTCCGGAGTAAAACTTTTGCTTCGGAGTCTCCACAACTTAATCCCAGAAAAACTCACCGAAACAAATTATCCGGCATGGTCTCTCAATGTCCAGACAGCTCTTTCAGTTAATCTCCTCCTTGGATGGATTGATGGTCATGAAGCAGCCCCGGCGCCAACTATCTCCAAAAACGATAAAACCGTCCCTAATCCAGAGTATACCTCCTGGACCATCGTTGACACACAGATC